AAAAAAAAAAAAAAGAACACTGAAACTCAGAGAAGTTAAATAAGGTAACTGACGCCACACAGTTCAAGTAGCGGAATCAGGATTTCAATGGAGTTTTTTCTGATCCAAAATCTAAACTCTTGCCCAATTAGATGCTACCCCTAAATGCCTACCTTTGTGCCTCTGGATCTTAATTTCTTTATGCGTAAACTGGGAAAAAAGACGAACCCTCCATAAATCTCCTTCAGGAGCCACTGAGAGGGTAGGAAGAGCTCAGCATTAACAGAGGACTTCATCCTGTGCTATCTACCCACAGGCCTGGAATAAGAACATTCCGACCACTCCCGGAATAAGAACAAACACAAACATCTGGTTCTGCCTTGTATAATAGGCACCTGCATACAATTTAATTTGAAGAAAAGGTGAGAAGGAGGGGAAATGGCATTTAAATGACTGAATTAGATGATGTCTAATACTCTGCACTGAGCACTAGCATTCTAAAATCCTGTAAAACAAGAAGTTAAAACATATTTTCATACCTTTTTGTAGAGCTGAATTTTTTTGCTGTTTTTCAGTTGGAATCTGTACCTCCCTGGCAACACCTGTGTTTTGATCGTCTGATGGAATAATGGTTGTCAGGTAATTAATAGAAGAGAGAAGAGCTTGTGTTTGTAGCAATAGATTTAAAGATGAAAAGGCCACCTAAAAATGTTTTAAAAAGAAAATTAGTTTTCCTCAGTCAGTTGCACCCTGTCTCCACAATGGACCCAAAAGGTTCCCACAGCTGCGCTTGCCTCTCAGCATTTACTGCTGGGAAGGATAAGGAGAAAGAGGATTCACAACCCCCTCAGGTGGGGATATGTGGATAGTAAACTACACACACTTCAAGGTTGGTGCCACTCCATTCCCCAAGTATGATGGTTATGAGTACAGAATCTATTTCTCATGGTCATTCTAACATTCAACATTCAGATGACTTCTTGGATCTTCAATGGACTTTATAATTACATGAAATGCAGAAGTCAAAGACAACTCCAGAAAACTACCCTGGGCTACTGTATTATGTCTAGAAATGATTTCAAATGAGGCATCCACGAGATTTAAGTATCAAAAGAACAATATGAGTGATTTCTCAGTTGCTAAATGATCTGAAATGAAAGTAATTATCCAACAATATAAAGAGAAACACAGAATAAATAATTTATGAAACAGGTACTAAAACAGTGACTCTAGGACGCTAAGACAACAACGTATTCTCAAGAATGGGTGGTTTTCTAATAGGAAATTAAAATAAAATAAAAATCTATTTCTAGAAAAGAATTTATTTTCATTTCATCAAAATATTAAATGGATATAAAAAAGAAAAGTTTCCAGTATTACAACAGATTCTCCCATCTCTCAAAACTGTGATCTAAAATTCACCTCTCTCATCTTCCTGTTAACGTAAGTACATTTTACCTCTTCCTCTAAGCTACTACTTAAGTAACGTGACTTCAAAAGTACTCAACATGTCTCCTTGACTTGGCAGAATTCACTTTTTTGCTCCTTTTGTTAGAAACCCTATTAGTTCTCTGTAAATCAAACTTCCTTTGTCTATAGCATTCCCTTAGTTAGAAATACGAAAACTTTTAAGACATCAGGCCACAGTAAGTCAAAACAACAGCTTTACTAAGTTGAATCATAAACAGAAAGCATGGTAAGTATCTATAAGGCCAAACTACCCAGCCAATATTCTTCAAAGGACTCAGGAGGCTTCCAGAGTAGTTTATTTTCAAATAGGACATGTTCTTTTAACAGAATTTCTTACCTTAACTGTTTGTTCAGTTTTTCCAAAAGTAGTTTGAAAACTAGGTCCATTCTTATCAGCCTGAAAAAAAGAAACAAAAGTTCTAAAGAATGAATTAAGATCAAAGTAAATAAATCACTTCTTTACGATCTCTGGTTAATTTTTTATATTTCATTATAAAATTATTTTATATATACTATATATTTTAATGTTATTGTCATTATTTTAAAGTTATATCAGATAACTTATTCATTGTACTAGTGCAATGAATAGTGTCATCCTCTTCTGGGGAACTGGGGCCAGGACCAGAATGATAAACTCTGAAGGCCGAAAAGTATAACGGTCATCTAGTCTGTCTATCACCTCATTCTTAAATCTCAAATAGCACCTACTTTCCTATAAAGCAGAGGTTCTCAACCTGTGGGTCACGACCCACAGGAACTATATTGAAGGGCCACGGTATTAGGAAGGTTGAGAACCACTGCTATAAAGTCTTTAGTAAGTCTATGTTTTTTAATCTCTAGTAAAAGAAATCTCCTTTCCATACAAATCCAATCTTTAGAGAACTTTGATTTAATGAGGTCTTACTACTGACTCAAAAATCTTATCTCCTATCAATCACTACTCATTGGTCCAAGTTCTCTACCTTGGGAATAAATATAATAAATTCAAATTCAAACATTTACCTTTTGTGAGAAGCTTCTGGCCTGGCCAGTTTCCCTGCTTCTCTACTCCCACAATGCTCTGAGCTTTTCTTTATTAGAAATTCATGATATTTTAAGTGTTGTTTATTTATCTATCTGTAATTTCCTTGAGGACAGCAAATTTTTTTCATCTCTATATCCCAAGGGCCAAACATTACAGACATTCAGTAACACATACAAATATTCAATAATAGTTATTACCTGATTAAATAAATCAACTAATCTTTTTTTTTTGATACAGAGTCTCACTATGTCGCCCTCAGTAGAATACCGTAGTGTCACAGCTCACAGCAACCTCAAACTCTTGGGCTTAGGCAATTCTCCTGTCTCAGCCTCCTGAGTAGCTGGAACTACAGGTACCTACCACAATGCCCGGCTATTTTTTGTTTTGTTGTTGTAGTATCCGTGTTGTTTAGCAGACTCAGGCTGGATTCAAACCCGCCAGCCCTGGTGTATGTGGCCGACGCCCTAACCACTGAGCTACGGGCACCAACCCCAAATCAGCTAATCTTAAATGAAGCTGGATACCATAAGGTCCTTATACCATAATATAAGTTTCCCATATATTTTAGAATCCCTTCCCAATCCTGGCAGTCCTTTTCTGAGCCAATCTAATTTGACTTTATCCTTTATGAGGCAGGACACTTGGCCAAATGTCAGCTACATATGACCTGGCATCAGTGCAGGTATGCGAATATGCCCTACAAGACAGAAATAGCACCTACTTCATTCCTAGGCTCTAGGAACAAGACACTTAGTAATAAGTAGTATGTAATAGCCCTGAAATTAAGTCAAGAAAGAAGGTCAGTGGATGAAAAGAAACTGTAGATATCCCTATAATTAAAAACTGTAATACACATCCAGAGCCATTAGTAATACACTATTGTCCTTTTCCTTCCAAGGGTATAGTTTGGAGTATACAAAAAATATTCTATGGCTGGAACATATTCTTCTTAGCAAAGTATCTCAAGAATAGAAGAAAATGTATCCAATGTACTCAGTCCTACTATGAAACTGTTATAGCCCAAGAACATGGGGAAAGGGGTTAAGGGAGGAGAGGAGAGGGGGAAGGATGGGTGGAGGGAGGGTAATTGGTGGGACCACACCTACAGTGCATCTTACAAGGGTACATGTGAAACTTACTAAATGGAGACTATAAATGTCTTAACACAATAACTAAGAAAATGCCATGAAGGCTATGTTAACCAGTTTGATAAAAATATTTCAAATTGTATATAAAACCAGCACATTGTGCCCATGACTGCATTAATGTACACAGCTATGATTTAATTTAAAAAAAAAAAAATTCTATGGTCCTTACCTTAATATACTCCACTTTTAATAGATCTAATCCAGGTTTATCAGAAGAGCTAATCAAGTGAAGGGGTTTCTTTTTGGATCCTAGATTTTAAAAAAAGGAAAAAAGATATTTCAAATAAACTAGTCTCTTTATATTTTGAAACTTCCTGTATTTTAAAAGAATTGCTAATTAAGCTTTAAAAGAATATCTGTGCATATTGTCACGGTTATTAAATACTAAGACCATCATTACTGAAAAAAAAAAA